GCAAAAAGCAAAATGGAAGGAAGTACCCGGGCTATCAGCCCAACTAATTGATGGGTAGACCTATTAAGTTTGCAAAAAACCAAAAAACAAAAAACAAAAAATAAAAGAAGAAGAAGAACTGAAAAAGATGCGCCATTGTCCATTTGGAATTAGTTGGGCCGCGTATCTGCAACGTTTCTGCCGGGCCGAATATCAGTTCGGCTTTCTGGAATAACTATTACTTTGCGGGCATATCTTTATTGTTCTATAGCTCACCAACGGAAGCGTAATTTTTAAGAGATAGTGCCTTTTTTTTCCTTTTTTTTTCACATATTGTACTTTTTTTTAGTAGTTTGGATATTAGAATTATTAAAATATTATTAATAAATGATATAGAAAGGATTTTTATTAAAGATATTTTGATAATTTTAATAGTTAAATTACATAAAAAATACAGTTATTACTAAGAAACACATTTATGAATTCTTAATGTACTTGGAGAAATTAGCTATATTTAAAAATTCAACAAAACTATATCTTTTTTTTATTAAAGATTAATGAGTATTAACTTATATTACAAAAAATAGGTAAAAAATATTCTAAAATTATGTCATTTTAATAAAAAATTATGAACAAACACTAAAATAATATTATTCTTGTTTTGAAAATTAAAATATTTTAATATTTTTTTAATCAAATTAAAATAACATAATTTTAAAATATTTTTATTTAATTTTTTACCATACAAATTGATACTTAGTTTCACTTTTTCGTTTTTAGTACAGTATATAAATTAGAAGAGCAACCTAGAAAATGACCCTCTTTTTATGTGCGTGGGGTCAAAGAAATTCTTTGCGATAGGAAAGAATTTGCAAAAGCGAGAATATCCGTCAAGTAGACAAGGGGTGACCAGGAGTTCAGGACCAGACCAGCCGGGCTGCGACGTGTGAATGTTCGCCTTGAGTTTGTTATCTTTTAGATGAGTATATACTTTAAATCTTATATTATGACATGTTTGGTTTTAGAGAATTAGAGGGGTTAATTTTTTAATTAGTTAAATTGTATTATTTATTAACATTTTAATGTAATTGGTTAAAACATGTATCTCTCCCTTTTTTTTCCTTCTAATTCCCTCAAACCAAACACACTCTTAATCTCTTAATAATAGTGCATTTGTTTGATTGTTTTATGATGTAAGGATTAAAACTTTAACATATATATACATATTAGATTATGAACTATTTATTGGTTAATAAATCTTATATTACTCTCTTAATAATGATAAATCTTGGGTGTAGTTATAACTACTCAAAGAAATGTTAAAATCACACAATATTATTTTAAAAATATTGATTTTATTTAATTTAATATTATTAAGAATATCTTATAATTAATTAAATAACTGATATTTATTATTTAATAAATTATAATTAATTTATAAATTAATGTTTTCAGATATTATAATTAATTATTTTTAAAAAAAAAACACTATAAATGAAATATCATTAAACTAAATGACGTTAACATTCTTATGGATAAGGATACCCACCAAATCTTGAGCCACCTTATTTTGTTGTGTAAATGACGTTAGCATGAGATTCGAAAAAAAAAAAATTATCAAATGGTCTTTTACTTCCATTTAATTTCGATTATGTTTTGTTGGCTGATAAAAAACCTAAATTATCCGTTATGTGCATGTTAATTATACTGTATACAGTTTCAGCTACAGATCGAGGTGGGTTATCAGAGTTAGAGATGATTTTTGATGATTGTCGAATGTTACTAAGTAGCCTAGATGGTTGTTCTGTGCGGCATGTTCGAAGGGAGGGGAATAGTGTGACCCATGAGTTGACAAAAAGAGCCTTAACAAATGAGGATAATGAGTATTGGGCGGAAGAGTTGCCTAGTAATATTATGCAATGGGTAGCTGAGGATCTGAGAAAGCTTTCGTTATCTGTATGATGTTATTCATCAAGTGAAATAAAATATGAACATATTTCAAATTAAAAAAAAAAAAAAATTATACTGTATACAGTTGACCAGAGTTTGGACTTTGGATGGGTAAGGCCAGCGTCACATTTACATAAATGGTTGCCTAAATTGTTAGAGCTTGGTATTTTGATGTTGCATTTGTATGCATGTCATTTACATGTTTGATGACGCAATTGTCTATATGTAAGGCTGCTTTCACACACACGAATTTAAGTGATTTAATATTAAATAAAATTAAAACGTTGCAGTTGGAGTTGAGTAATATCAATACATACATATATATCTATATATTGTATAGTTTATATTATATTCAGTTTTATAAGGATTACTATAGGATGAAGTGGGTCTTTGATATTAGAGATTATTTTTACTTAATAATTTTAGATTTTTTTAATTTGTGTTTTAAAAATATAGGTTAAAGATATTTTTTTTGTTATAAATTTGTATAAAAAAGTAAAAATAAATTTTAATTTTAGAATCAATATTATGTGAATCAATTTAATTAGATAATTGATAAATTAAATATTATTTTTTATTTTTTAAGACTCTTAACCTATGCAACATACATAGGTTAAAAAAATCCAATAACTTTTTTTTTATAATCTATTACAGTTAGAATTGTGAAAATGGAACTCTAACTACATGTTTGAGTTGAGGAAAATAAACAAAAGGGGATGATAAAATTTTTCTTTACTTGATTATAAAAAAATTAGAAAGGAGGGGAGGGAAAATTTTTCATTTACCTTTTTTTTTTTTTTCTCTTAATTTATTAACTTATCCAAATAAAGCAAGGAAAGGGAAAAAAAATGAAGAAAAATAAAGAAAAATGGAAGGATAAAATTGTTTTCCTTTTCCTTCTTCTTCCTTCCATTCCTACCGTTCCAAACATCCTCTCAATCCAAACAGGCGGTAAAAGAATGTTTGTAATGATAGGAATAGAAGGATGGGGAGGGAAATGAAAAGAATATTTTTATTTAATTATAAAAAATTGAAGGAAAAGAGAAAAAAAAAAGGTTTTACTTTATTTTTTAAAATTTAATTAATTATTCAAATAACAAAAAAAAATAAAAAGATAAACTCTCTTTTTTTTTAATTTCAACATACAATAATATATATATTTAAGTCTCATCAACCGATAACTTTAAACCTACTTATAAAATATATTTTCTTAGCTCTAAGTTTGAATTCGAATCTCTCGATCCAAAATTGTAAATCATTTAAAAAGTAATAATATATATATATATGGAATCGGCAAAAAATTGGTGATTAATATGGTGTCTCTCTCTTTTTTTTTATTTAATAATGTCTGTCATCGTACAAGGTACAACACTCAAAATATATACTACAGTACTTTTCATGGTAATATACTGCAGTACTTTTGTGATAATATTCTCACTATTTAATATTTTTGTAGATTTAGTTTCATTTTTAATTTTTAAATATTAATTTTAAATAACAATTTAATAAAATATATAATTAATAATTAAAAATCTTCTTTTTCTTAATGCAATATTGGTTGAATGATTTTATTTAATAAGAAAAAGTTTAATTATCATTTTAATATGAGAATAGTACATATATGTATTTATCTCCTAAAAGTTAAGAAAAAAATTATCTTCAAATTAGATTGTTTTAATAAATTTTTATTAAAAAAATTAAAATATTTTATTTTTAAGATATAAATTAGAGTATTTTTTATACTAACCTTTTAGTATTCAGTAATCGCATTAAATTTTGATTAATTTGAAATTGAATTGCGTTGAACCTTATTAAAATTCTCTTAACGTCTGTTTTTTTATTCATAAAATTCAAATTCGATAGCAAGTAAGAGAAATTAAGTTCTTTTCACTCGAATCACCAAACCGTCGGTAAATTAGAGTATTTTTAATATTATGTTAAATGTCCCATAAAAAATAATGTTAAATCTTAGTTTGTAATTAATATCCAAAAAAAATAAAAATTAAATTTAAATTACTAAATTCAAACGAAAGGATAAAAAATTTTTTATGGTCGGTAAAAATGAGTCTCATTAAACGTGTGTACTAAGTTACCGGAAGGAGGAACCTATCCAGGAGTATTTTTCTTTTGCAATTCTCTTCAATTATTGAAAAGCAAGAACCTATATCGCATAAAAAAAAAAAAAATTCCCATCTGGTAGTAAAAAATCCGTATCTTACACGTAAAAAAGCAAGAAAAATGATGAGAGAATATTTTTTATAAATTTTTTTTGTGTAATTTTATATATTATTTAATAATTAATATTTTTATTTTTTTAATTATTTTTTTATACTAACTTTTCGATATCTAGTAATAATATTAAATCTCAATTAATTTAGTTTGAGTCACATCGGATCACATTTGAAGAAACTCTTTTAACACCTGTTTTTTCGTTCAGACTCAAATTAAAATTTTATTTATGAAAAATCGAATTTCTTTCACTTAAATCAATAAATCGTTGATATTTTATTTTATTTATAAAATTATATTATACTTTTATTTATTCTAATAATATA